CACCTTCCCAGCCCCAGTATCTTAATTTTTAGTTGAGCAAAATTGAGGAAAGTTGTAATGAAGATGTAGATTAGTGTTGATCTCTTCAAAGCTCCTGTTAATTGTGTTTTATGTTGAGTCCATTGTTAAATAATCTTTTCTTCTTTTTTTAGGAATTGCTTCATGTTTGGCTGTTTTCTCAGCACTAACGAAATAGCATTTTCTGACCCAACACCAGATGGCAAGTTATTTGCAACCAAGTACTGCAACACCCCTAATTTCCTTGTATACAATTTTAATAGTTAAAGCCAATTTTAATGATAAAACTGATGTGACGTGGCAAAGTTCAGATAGTTCTTCATTTGACATTAGCTAACATCAAAATAAACAATTGAGACATGTATCCCCACCAAACTTTGTACCTTGAGTTAGAAAGTCAGAATACATTCCCTGGAAACCATCTAAACTTCCCAGAAAGAGAAAAGTGCCTAGATAATACTGAATAGCACTCAGGTTCTTTATTATGAACCATTATAGCTGTAGTAGAAATTACTTGCTTCCTGTATTCGAGCATTGACCAAGATAATTTCTACAGAAACAGGCTGACTTGTCCTTTGAGACCTGTTAAACTTTTAGGCTTCAAATATCTCTTGCCCATCAGAAGCCGAGAGGAAAATTAAATCTAAGTAATTTACCTATTTAGGTTTTCAAGCCAATTTCTCTCTTCCTGATACAGAGTTCTTACATAGGCACAGATCTATAGCTATATAATTGAAGGTATTTAGGTTCTTGAATTTCTAATTTATAGTAAGACATGGTAAGAAATGGTAAGGAATGAGTAAAATATCCCAAATTCACTTATATAGAACAGAATTTGGTAGTTCAATGTTTTAATCTTGTTGCAGATCAAATTGCCCAAATGTACACTTGCTTGAAATTTTAAGTTCTGTTCTGCACTATTCCATTCATTTCTGTCAAATGAGAATGTTGGCGGGCTACATTAGGGGACTTGTCACTGGTCACTGTGGTCATTAACAGAACCAGATGCCCCAATGGATGAGGCTGCTCGTTGAGAGACTTAACTTGCAAAGCAAAATGTATTTGAGCTGTTTTCATTCTCAGCCATATAACACAAGGATTTCTTTTTAGGTTGTATTACTCTTCATCTGCCATTTTATTTAATAGCCTGGTTCCAAAGAGAATGTGAAAGTGTTCAAATGTTTGCAATTATGCCAAAACATCCTAATGCTATTTTCTACATTGTTTTGAAATTCTTCTAAATGTTTTATTCAAATTTCTATTAGCTTTATTTTTTTGGTTGAATGCTTTTGTGGTAAGATAATAAAAAGTATTCTTATTGTTTCTTGGGAAGCTGAATGCTGATTTTTTAAATTTTATCATAAAAATCCTCCTTTGGCTATAAGTATACACATTACTTCAGATTAATACATAATTATTTTGCAACCTCGTAAACTGGTCTGTGGTGGCAAACTTAGCAATGAGAAACAGGGTGAATAGTAGAAGTATAAAAGTCTTTGCAGCTTTTCTGTAAATATGAAATTATACTTTTAAAAAATGAACTCTATGATCTATCACAAAATATTTTCATACCACACAGTTTAAAAATGAAAGCATAGGCTAGGATTGTGGCTTAGTGGTAGTGTTTGCCTTGTATGCATGAAGCCCTGGGTTCAATTCCTCAGTACCACATAAATAGAAAAAGCCAGAAGTGGTGCTGTGGCTTAAGAGGTAGAGTACTAGCCTTGGGCAAAAGCAGCTCAGGGACAGTGCCTAGGCCTTGAGTGCAAGCCCCAGGACTGATGCACCCTCCACCTCCCCTCTACCCCCGCAAAATGAAAGCAATGCCAAGAATTCAGTCATCTTAACTATCATTACCATCTTACTCAAAAGCAATTACCTTTTACAAGACAGGGAATTTAGGGCCTGGGAAGGTAGTTCAGTGGTAGAGTGCTGGCCTTGCATGCCTGAGGCCCTGGGTTCAATTCCTCAGCACCACATAAGCAAAAAGAAAAAAAGCTGGAAGTGGCGCTGTGGCTCAAGTGGTGGAGCGTAGCCTTGAGCTGAAGAGCTGAGAGGCAGCGCACAGGCCCAGAGTTCAGGTCCCACGACCGGACCAAAAAAAAAAAGACAGGGAATTTAGCCAAAGCCACAGAGCCATGTCAAATTTAACTACCTCTTGATGCCTAACACTTAAAAAAATTACTGTTGATGTGTTGGCTCAGGGCCTGGGCACTGTCCCTGAGCTTTTTTGCTCAAAGTTAGTACTCTACCACTTGAGCCACAGCTCTATTTCCAGATTGTTTGGTGCTTAATTGGAAATAAAGAGTCTCATGGATTTTCCTGCTGGTCCTGCTGCAGATCTCAGCCTCCTGACTAGTAGGATTAGAGGCATGATCCACTGGTACCCAGCAGTTTGAACAATTTTTTATAGCTCAGAAAATGATGGTTCTGCCGGACGTTGGTGGCTCACGCCTGTAATCCTAGCTACTCAGGAGGCTGAGATCTGAGGATCGAGGTTCAAAGCCAGCCCGGGCAGGAAAGACTGTGAGACTCCTATCTCCAATAAACCACCAGAAAAACGGAAGTGGCGCTGTAGCTCAAGTGGTAGAGCGCTCGCCTTGAGCTGAAGAGCTGAGGGACAGCGCCCAGTCCCAGAGTTCAAGCCCCACGACTGACAAAAAAAAAAAAAAATGATGGTTCTTAATTAGAATTTCTCCTGTTGACAGTAATTTTTTAAATTGTGTAGACAAGCCTGGGTACAGAATCCAAGGTTCACAATTATAGTTCAATAACTTTGAAAGTTCCCAGGAGCAGTGGATCACAGAAACTACTGATCCAAATCCACCTCATTTTTCAGATTAAGAAAATAAGGTTGAAAGCGAAAGAAACCCATTTATATTCATTCACCACATTAATGACAACACTCCAATTAATTAGAGCATAAAATAATGCTGAGACACTTTCTGGTACTCAAACTGTCCTTTATTCTGTATTGTCCTATTATTCTTTCAACACAGCTTTGAAATGCTTTTTAGGATACAGATTAGTAAATAAAAACTAAACAAGGATCTCAGTATGGAAAACAAATTTAATAAATTAAACACCAAAGGTCTGGGGAGAGCTGAGGCAGCAGGACAAACTGTGAGGAGAGTCTAGGATACCCACAGAGTGCATCATCCCTCCTCAGGTCCCAGAGACCATTTAATAAACACAACAGCCAAGAAGTTCAGCTAAATGTATGTACACTTTGTACCACATAAAGTGCTAATTTTACAGATCCATCCAGTAAAAGAGAATATCTGAGATTCTTAATAAATGTAACAGTCACTCGATTCAAATTAATGTTAGACCCAGAAAACCCCAGTACACCAAGTGCTTATGCTAAGAATATGGCCCTAAAATAGGCCATGTCCAGAGTACAATGACTACAGACCATGGCAACTAAACATTGAGTGAAGAGAACGGTTATAAACACAAGCCATACTTCATGCTGAGGTGAGTGTGAACATGGTCACTCCTCATCTAGCTCCAAAGCATCAACAATCTGAGCAGCAGAAGGACGATCTTCCGGATCTTCATTGGTGCACACAGAGAAGAGTTCAATTACTTTCTGGTAAGACTCATCCAGTTCTTCAATATTAATAGGTGGTCTGGTTCCCAACGCAGCATAATATGCTTCATCATCAAAGTCACTTTCATCAAAAGTTTTATCTGCTCATGAAGGAGAGAGATTAAAACAAGAAACTATCAGTTAAATTCATAGATAAGCTTAATAGGTCACCCTCCAGAAACAAGAATTTATCAGTGTGCTTTCCAGATAACACCACAAATGATCTCTTTGTTCATTTCACTACCAGGCAGATTAGAAAGTGTCTTTAGATTTATAGGACTCTTACCCCCAACCCTATCTATGATAACTTTCTAATCTCAGGTAAGGAGGACTTTTTTGGGGGGGAGGGGTGTCAGTCGTGGGTCTTGAACTCTGGGCTTGGGCACTGTCCCTACACTCTTCAGCTCAAAGTGAGCACTCTACCACTTGAGCCATAGCACTACTTCCAGTTTTCTAGTGGTTTATAGCAGATAAGAGTCTCAAGGACTTTTCCTGCCTGGGCTGGCTTTGAACCTCGATCCTCAGATCTCAGCCTCCTAGGATTACAGGCATGAGTCACTGGTGCCCAGCTATAAGGATTCTTAAGGTAACCATTCCTCTAGATCTTAATATATCTCCCTATTCTGTATTAACATGTTTGACTAGGCTATTAAACCTAACCAAATTAGTCACCAGTATTAATTAATCTGCATCTTAGAAACTATGCTACTAAATAAATTAATCTTTTAAATTGTACTGGAATGACATAATAGCATACATAAACTAGTATTAGGGAAGAGAGATGCTATTTTTCAAAAATTAAAGTGAAAGAAAAAAATTCAAAACTTGTTTCAATTTATACCTTCATCATCATCATCATCATCTGAGAGATTAATGTGTGGGATAGATAAAGTCATCATTTCCCAAAGTGTTAGGCCAAAGGCAAATATGTCTGCCTTGTCAGTAATAATGCCATTTTCCTCCAAAGCTTCCTTGGGTTTCCACGGCTCAGTACCAATATAACAGGCTTCAGGATCAGTCACTGAAATAAGCAAAACAACAGGCAAAATAGTCCTGAGGCAAGGCACCAGAAATCATGAAGATAAGCAACCAAAGAACAATGGGCAAATAATTTGAATACGGAATTTACAAGTCAATTGTATAGTCATTAAGCATGAAAACATTCACTAATAAGAATTATTGTTTCTCCATCAGGCTAAAACATTTTAAAAGCTGCCTAGTTGGCAATTCTCTTGAGAGATGAGAGGTATATAGACTTGGAGGTCCAGATTACAGACTCAAGAGCCCAGATTTTGTTGCCTGGCTTCAAGGACATGTGCAAGCTGTGGGCTTGAGCCCATTGCCTGACCTGTGCTGTCTCTGCCTCCATGACTGATCAGTCAGGAAATGGAGGGAGGGCTAAATCAGATGTGGGCCCTTAAAGAGTTTACCTTGGAATGACATTCCCTCCAAATACCAGTCATCTTGTTAATTTCAATGAAAAACCCAGCAAGAATTGAATTAAGTCTGTAGATGAATCTAAGATCTAACAGGAACAGTATCAAGTCTTTCAATATCCCACTCATGGTAGTTTTCTCCACTGTAATTACATCTCCGTGATTCTTTTAAGTAGAGACCATATACTTTCATTGAATTTATTCTTAAATATTATGGAGTTCTGCCAATGGTAACAGGGAATTTTTCAACAGAATTCATGAACTACCTCTAACTTAAGTTAATAGAGACAAATTCACTAGTTATTGGGCTAAAGAATATTTTAAAAGAAAAGCATTCTCATGGCTGATTCCTCATCAAGAACATTAAGAGAATGGTCAGTATAATAAAAACAAAACAAGAATGAGTTTAGGCTGTGCCAACAGGCAAACACAAAATGGCTTTTTGTAGCATTCCTCTTTCCTGGTTCCATGCCAGTTTCTTCTACCATTTCCCAAATCTTCTGTTACTAAAATTACATCCCTTTTAAAAAATCTCATCAAAATCCTATTTTCCATTCTCACATTTTAAATTTTTATTTTTTTTTTTGCCAGTCCTGGGCTGGAACTCAGGGCCTGGGCACTGTCCCTACACTTCTTTTGCTTAAGGCTAGTACTTGAGCCACAGCGTCACTTCTAGCTTTTTGTTCATGAGGTACTGAGGAATCAAACCCAGGGTTTCATGCATGCTAAGCAAGCACTCTACCACTAAGCCACATTCCCAGCCCATCTCAGATGTTTTATAGCTTTCAAATTCTGAGTTAAGGGTTAAATGTGGTGCAACATGCTACAATCCCAGCACTTGGAAGCAGGATCTTGAATTTAAGACCAACTGAATATTAAGACCCTATCCCTCCAAGAAAATAAAACTTAACAATGTATATCTTTTAATTTTAATAGTGTGTATTTCTATAGGCACACATTCTCTAATAAGCTGATAATCTATATCATATATGTGAAAGGGAGGGGACTGAAGGCTACCTGGACGCAACATAGACGAGGAAGTGTGTGGAAATCTGTGGGGAACACAGGCAGCAAAGATGGCCCTGAGAGGAAGTTGAGCGGGCCGGATTTGTTTAGGTTCAGTGTAAACAACTCATGGAAGCGTAGGTGCATGATAAGGTGTGGCCTTCAGTGATTGGTTGGTTCCATTTCCTCCCCTCCCATGCAGTCTTGCTTTAAAAAGGGGATGCTCCCTGTTAATAAAGGAGTTTCTGCTTGACTTGACTCCCAGCTGGGTTTGATTGTCTCCCGGGCTAAGGGAGGCTGGGGAACGGCGATAGACACTTCACTTCGCACTTACCTCTCCTCAGACCCCTTACCTCTCCTCAGACCCCATCCGTACAGACCGAGGAAGACCCAACAAGGAAGGACATTTATTATCTGCTTTTCAAGTTCAATGTTGAAGCATGAGTTTTTATTATGTATGTTAAAATGTAACTGTTGGGGCTGGGAAGGTGGCTCAGTGGTAGAGCGCTTGCCATGTATGCATGAGGCCCTGGGTTCAATTCCTCAGCACCACGTAAGCAAAAAGAAAAAAGCCGGAAGTGGCGCTGTGGCTCAAGTGGTAGAGCGCTAGCCTTGAGCTGAAGAGCTGAGGGACAGTGCCCAGGCCCAGA